TTCATCTCTAAAATGGAGATAATCTGCTGGGCTGTCCTGAGAGTCTTTGGAGATACCAGATGTGATCATGATTTCTAAACATGAAACATTACACAGAACAATGTGTTAATAAAACTACAGAATCTCTGGAGCTTATGGTGCCCAGTTGTAGGACCTTGCTACTTCTATCCAAGAGATCAGGAAGCCCTTCTGCTGAGTGCCTGAGGGGAAGAAGGAAGGGAACCAAACCAGGGACAGTCCCCACGGCTGTGGGCTGGGCTCTGCAATGTCCCTCACAACTTCCAGGACATCCAAGGCTCTCCTAGGTTTCCATCCCCAAGCAAGATTCAGTCTGCACTTGGCCCTGTTTCCTGAATCCCCTTGGGCAGGGAATTTAGGGCTTTGAGGAAGAAGAGCCTTCAGTGTGACCCAGCTCTGGAAAAGCAGAGGGCAGGGTGGAGGGAGGAAGCATTGGCAGGGCTGAGTTATCCTAGGATACATGCTTAGGGCCCATGATACTTTCAGAGGCCCATGACAAGGCTTTAATTTCTTCTAAAATCATAATGAAAAGTGAATATAATCCAGTTTGGATTATATTCTTTCTTATATGAATGAGGTCATTAAATATAAATTTTAATTTTGTTGTATATGTATGTGTGAGTGGAGGGACTCATAAAGGCAAGTGTCTAGGGCCCATGGAAGACATAATGAGTCTCTGGAAGAAGACAGAGCCCATCCATGGTTAGGGAAAGACAGCATCTCCATCCACACATAGCTCAATGAATTTGGCTAATTTGGTTCATTTATTTATGTTCTGGAGTCCCTTGGTTGTGCAAATGGTTAATGAACTTGGCTGCTAACTAAAACGTTGGAGGTTTGAACCCACCCAGAGGAACGTTGGAAGAAAATTCTCACAATCTACTTCCTAAAAGTCAGCCACTGAAAATCTTATGGAGGAGTCTGATTTGGGTACTGGCCCCTGTCACCTTACCATATACATGGTAATAAATTATCTTTCTCTTCCCTCCAAAAAATGAGAATCTTATGGAGCACGTTTCTACTCTGACACACATGGGATCACCATGAGTAAGAATCAACTGGATAGAAACAGATTTGGGGTTTTGGATTCATGATTTGTGTATATGGAGGTCTTTTTTCTTCATTGATGTATGGAAGTTTCTCTTAGATAAGAACTGCTCCATTTCTTACAACTCTTTTAGAGTGATGGTAGAGCTTGATCTATCTATATGTCTATCTACCTTTTTTTTTTTTTTTTTTTTACAGAGACTTAGAGTCAACACAGCAAGCCTGACATTGTTTCTTTCTATGTACTGTGATTAGTAAACATGGTATCTCAGAGAACACATATTTTCAGTTGGAGAATAGATATAAAAAACATCTGCTAATGATGCTTGGTGGGTTGAGTAATTCTGTTTTAACTTATTTAGTCATTTGTTAAGAAGATTTTAGAAAATTACCTGAGGTTGAACAAATATGGTCATTGGTAGGTTCTAACTGTGAAAGTTTTACAAAAATGTTCATCAACAACTTTTCCCAAGTCCTTTACCAGAGGTTTTCAAATTGTGAAACTATGTCCTGAAGATCTACCTACTCATCAAATTTCTCTTCTGAGACAGCTCAGGGGCTGCATTGGGGATGAGGAAGATGTTATGATGAGCAGGATGAGATTCCCAATTCTGCACCTCAGCCCTCTTTATTCCTAGCAGCTCTGATTTACTCGTTGGTATGATATATAATTTTATTTGAACAATAGTCTCTGTAGCTAAATAAAATTTACAAACCATTCTTTATAACTGGACGTTGTAATTCTCTTTCATCACACTATTTTTGAGCACTGACACATTTTAAAAGAAGACAATTGTGTGTGGATGAAAAGGACATACTAATTTAGTTTTTAAGGATCAGATTATTTTTACTCCACTTATCTAGTTCAACAGCTGAATAGTGACTCTGGTGTTACTGTTTAGGAAAGCTGTATAACCTTTCATGTGCTCTGATATCTTAAATAGTTGGGGAACTCATACCAAAATTCTATTTTTGGCCTTAAATAAATGCTCCCATCAAGTTTTTCAGTTGACAAAGGGAAGGGAGGGAGAACTTAAAATTCTAATTCTCAAAAAATTTAAAAAATATGGTAGGTGGCCATATCTAATTGTTTTCTGAAATTAATAAACCAACCTCATAAACGTTCTCTTGGGTGAGAACCTGACACAGGTAGATTCTTGTAAGTTGGGTTGAGAGGAGGCAAGAACTTGTGTGTGAGCACCTGAAGGAAGAGGCCTTTTTTTTCCCATTTAAAAAATATCTTCTTGTTATTCATTTCCATAAGCGTACATTTCCTCTTCATAATCCTAATCATTAATCATCAAGTAGTGTTTAATAAGCACCTGCGTGAACCATAGATTGGATTGCCTGATCTCTAAGAATTGCAACCCACCCACAGAGTCTGTTTCTGGTTTGTTTGGCATCTCAGTTCCTGGCAGAGCTTGAATTGAAACATAGAATGTCAATGTTTTCTCTTCCTCCTCTCTTCACCCCTCTTGGAATGCAGGATCTTGAAACCTTGGCACTACTGGCATTTTAGGTGAGATAATTCTTTGTTGTCAGTGGCTGTCCTTTGCATTGTATAATATTTAGCAGCATCTGCTCACTAAATGTCAGTAGCAGCACCTGCTCCCCTCCCCCTGGGTTATGACAATCAAAAATGTTTCCAGATATTACCAGATGTCCTCTGGGAGAAGGAAGGGACCACTCTCTGTTGAGAACCACTGCTCTAACTCATGAGGATTCTAAGACTGAGAATCCCACCAGGAATTACCTGGCTACTAGCCAGTATGGTTCTCAAAAGGTCCTTCGGCCCATGTGATTCAACTAAGTCAACATTCTCAATCTTGGCTGCACACAAGAATCATATGAGATATTTACAAAGGACCTATTGGGCATGAGTATATTTTACAAGCTCTCCAGGATCTTCTAATTTGTAGACAGGGTAGAGACCTTCTGAACTAAGTGCACTTCCAAAACTCACTGCCATCAAGTCAATTCCGACTCATAGCAATCCCCTTTGGATTTCCAAGATAGTAAATCTTTACAGAAGTAGATTGCCCAGTCTTCCTTCCATGGAGTGGCTGGTGGGTTTGAACCTCCAACCTTCTGGTTAGCAGTCAAATGCCTTGGCCACTAAGCCACCAGAGCTCCTTTCAAGTGCACTTAGTCTTAATGTTCATTATTACTAAAAAAAAAAAAGCAGTAATTTTATTTCAAAAAGGAAATATTTTAAAAGCAAGGAAAAAAATTCCATATGCCCATAGAGTACAGAACATAGTGTTATTGGAGGCCTTTGGTTTTTTTTTTTGTTGTTGTTGTTGGTCTGTTATTACAAAGCAGTTGGGGAACTGAATGCCTCTGGAATGCCGGGCTCTTCAACAGGTTGCCTGAGGTTCAACATTTGTAAAGCAATTTTCCACAGCTCTCAGGCAGTTTGGTCCAAAGTCTTGGTATTTATAACTCAAAGAGGCTCTTTTGACTAAAGCAACCCACAGGTAGAGAACTTCATAGGGAAGAGCCCAAGAGGAAATTCCGTGAATGGGATGTGTGGGTTTGGCAGGAAAGGAAGTTTAAGACTTAGCAAGACCAATGGTAGCCTAGGAAGAGGGGAGTTCTGATCATTTTGTCCCAGCTGATGAAAAATATGATCAGTTTGCTACCTCTCTCCCTTGTTACTGATTTAGAAACAGCAGGAATAAAACCAGACTATGAGGGTCTTTGTATCTTGGGATTCAGGAGCATCATATCCAGCCTCTGTCAATCCTACTTTTTATGGCCAGCCAAGAAAGGTTGACAAAGATTCGTAGCCAGTTATGGATCTCCTGAAACTGACGTGCTAACCACTGTTCAACCTTCCACATGACTTGGGCAACTCATTTAGCTTCCCTGAGATTCTATTTCCTCATTTGAAAAATAGGCAGCGTGTCATTTACCTCAGAGAGTCATTAAGGGGATTAAATTAGATAATATGTGTGAAAGTGTTTTGTGAATTGTAAAGCCCATTACAATTATTATCTCTCCAGTGACTTCCATCTTGAGAATCTGGTTAGACCAGGATGCAACAGTAACCATTTTTGCTGCTAGAGCATGTGTAGAATAATGGATGAATGCAGCCACTGACTTAACTTGCCAATGTCTGTCCTCAAGTGGGCAATTAGGAAAATACATTTGAGCTGAAAACAGAGTGATGTATTTTTCATGTCTGAGGTTATGATTGTATTTTAGGCTATTATATATTAAAGACCAGGAAATTAATTGGTGCCTTCTAAAATGGAGAAGAGCAAGAGATTAATATGATAAATGGTGTCCATCAAAAAAAAATCTGTTTGGCTTTCCAAATTTATCTTGTCTCTTAAGGTTTCTGAGTGCCACAATATCCTTCTCCTGGTTTTCAAGATTCATTCCACTGCTTCCTACATCCCTAGGTTTGGAGAATATCCTTATTTATATAAATACAGTGGTACAACATGTCTAGGGAGTTAACTCATTAACATCCCAACTCATGGATTGGTTAACTGAAACCACTAATTTGTCTATGAATTGAGGTTTTGGTTGGTACTCAGAATGTAACCTTTGTAGATATTAAAAACAAGATTTTGAATGGCACTATTTCATATAGGTAATGCATCTGAGACCATCCAAGTAAGCCCATGGCCAAGGTTCTAAGCTGTTAGTGCTCACCCAGTACTAAGGATTCCTTAGAGGAATCAAAAAGGGCAGGAAGGCAGGCTGTTTCAGTGGACAGGCAGTGCTATTCTGGGGAAAGCCTTGTAAAGAAGTCAGTGATTTCAAACTTTCACTCTGATCCTTTTTCAATTAGGTGTCCCATATGACTAGCAGAGAAAATTGGGCTGATTCCACCCTAGTCCTATGAAAACACAGACCCTTGGATGCCCTCTTTCCTGAAGAAATTGCCAGTTCAGCCAGTTGCAAATCAAGAAGTGAACATGCCACTACATTACAACACTAAGTTCATATTTCTCTGGTCTGTCCTCTGATGGTTCTGCTTTGAAGCCTCGGTTAGGGTCTGGGTGATGGATTTCAATGACAAGAACATAGATGAGTCCTCCAATGACGGCACCAACCATAGGACCCACTACAGGAATCCACCAGAAGTTATTTCCAGCTCTGAAATCAAACCAGAAGATAGTGATATATTACTTGCTTTCCTCTTAGAATTGTTGTCTAGTTATTCATCAACCAGCTTGTCTTTCTCATGCTAACAGCTCCCTTTTGACTCAGCAAGAATTAAGCATAACAGCATTCACTGTAGCTTGATAGTCCTGATTTCAGATGATCCTCCCCATTGCCCTATTAATGCTTGTGCAACACTATGTCGCACCTCTTTTCCTTTCAGAAAATATGGCCTCAGAAATCATGATCAAGACTGAGCGCACTTAGGGTAAATTCATGTCAGCTAACCAGGAATTATCTCTTCCTCATCCTCAGATAATGATGCCTGGGAATTATAAATGAAAAGGAGAGGCTCAGGATGTAGAAAGATTTTTGGGCATCATTGGTTTACGAGAAAAATCACAAAATAAAGAAAAAGGAAATGTTTGTGGAAAGAATGAAATAATTTTTTTTTTTTTTTTTTAAATCAAAGGTGGATATGTAAATTACCTAAAAAACAATTTAATTCAGTGCTTACTTTTGAGGTCACAGCTCAGAGTTATTCTCTGACAAGACTATTTTGTCACGGTTCTCTCCTCCAGAAATTAAAAGTATAGTTCTAGGGGAAATGCAGTGTCTTAGTGAATTGTCACTCTGGGCTTTTTTTTTTTTTTTTTGTGAGGGGAAATACATTTAAAGAATTCAGTATAAAGAACCCGGAATACTCAGAAGCTATGCAGAATATTGTTTAAGGATATATACATTTGAGATAAAACTATTTTTTAAAAGCAGGTGAATGATAAACACCAATATCAGGATAAGGTAGGGAAACGGGATTAAGAGGTGCGTACAGATAGATGTGAGAAGTCAAAGGTTATCTAGTTGAGAGAAGGATTCATGACCATTCTTTTTATCATTATACCTCATAATTACAAATATATTCCATTTTGTCTTTTTTTTTTCCCCTCAAATTTTGCTTAGAAATGGTAATCAAACGAAACCAAACCAAATTCACTGTCACCGAGTTGATTCCAACTCATAGCAACCCCATTGAGTTTCCAAGGCTGTAAATCTTTAAGCAAACAGACTGCCTCATCTTCTTCTGTGGAGTGGCTGATGGGCTCATGCCACTGACCTTTTTGGTTAGCAGCCAAAAATGCTTTAACCACTTTACCACCAGAACTCCTTAGAAAGGATAATAAAGGAAGTGAAAAACAAGAGCCTTGAGCTAGAATTCATGAGACCTAGTTCTAATCCCAGGATTGCATACAAAGCCTTTGGGCAAGTCTCTCTCAGCTTCAGTTCCTCCATTTGCAGGGTCCCTTCTACCTGGATGATCTTAACTAGCTGCCCTCTGACCCCACGTGTGTTAGAGTAGAACTGTGCTTCATAAGGTTTTCAATGGCTGGTTTCTCTGAAGTAGATGACCAGGGCTTTCTTCTGAGGTGCTTCTGGGTGGACTTGAACTTCTAGCCTTCTATTTAGCAGCAGAGTGCATTAACAGTTTGCACTGCCTTGAATAATCCTCACTCAAACCAAACTCACTGCTATTGAGTTGATTCTGACTCATAGAGACCCCTATCGAGTTTCCAAGATTATAAATCTTTACGGAAGCAAACTGCCTCATCTTTCTTCCATGGAGCAGCTGGTGCATTTGAACCACCTACCTTTTGGGTAGCAACCAAATGCCTTAACGACCACTCCACCAGAGCTCCTTTGGATAATCTTTTAAAAAAAACCAAACTCAACTGCCATCAGACTCACAGTGACCTCTCCTTGTATTTCTGAGGTGATATATCTCTGCGGAAGTAGATTGCCCAGTCTTCCTTCCCAGGAGTGGCTGGTGGGTTTGAACCACTAGCCTTCTGGTTAGCAGTCAAATGCATTAGGCACTAAGCCACCAGTTGTTGTTGTTGTTATGTGCCGTCGAGTCAGCCCTGACTCATAGCCAGAGCACTCATTTAAAAAAAAAAAAAAAAAAGTGTTTAGATGGAACAGCTTTGTGACTATGCACTATAGCCACCAGATGTCACTATTACTACATGGTAGAGGGAAGTTGCAGGCTTGCAGCTCACAGCCCCCTTCCCCAAGACTCTAAATCTAGATGGAGTTTTCTATGAGAGACAAATGGAGAGTAGTTGACACTTGCATCTAGCTTTCAGAGAACTAGGAGCCTTGTCTGGAGGCAACCGCATGAAGTGAGTATGAGGTATCTATGTGCCACCATTTCTTTCCTTCTATCAGTATCTTATGGCGAATTTCTCACTGCTATTTACCAGATTAAAACCCAAGATACCTTGGACAGGACAGATGTCCTCCTTTAACTGGCTGAACCCCCTTCCTTTTACAAGGCTGAACACCTTGGGTCAGGGTCAGAAGTCATAAATGGAGGAGCTCAGGTCTGATTCAAAAACGGCAAATACCAGTCCTTTTCAGCTCACTAATGCCTAAGGCATTTGACTGTTAACCAGAAGGCTGGCAGTTCTAACCCACCAGCTACTCCTTGGAAGGAAGGTTAGACAAACTACTTCCATAGTGATTCTGCCTGGGAAACCCAAAGTGGGGTCGTTATGAGTCAGATCCGACTTGTCATCAGTGAGTTTGGTTTTTTTTGGTTTTAGGTGTGTTTATCTGCCTAGGGCCAGTCTTACACACACATAGAGTAGTGGTCATTTGCATGCCATGATTTGGGGAAAGCGAAGAAAATGTGTCAACTGTCTTAAGAGACTCATTATCTGTCTTAGAGATTCATTCCTTTGGGTAAACTTTTTATAAATTAATAATACACCTGAGATCCTTCACACATTAAGTCATTGATACTGTAATATGGATTAGTAGAGATGACTTTAATGGGAAACATTCTAATATTTAAAGGAAAAGTAAGCCAGGTTTTGTTGACTGTCTGTCAGATCCCCTCTCCCCTGGTTACCCTCCACTCCCTGCCACCCAGGGACAGTGAGAACCTGAGAGTAAGGCAGTCTTGGTTTTTATCTGAAATCTTGGGTATGGATCCAAGCTAGGATATCTGCTGAAGTGCTTGATGTTGTTGTTGTTGTTGTTGTTATGTGCCATCGAGTCAGCCCCGACTCATAGCGACCCCTCCTTGGGTTTCCGAGGCAGTATCACTACGGAAGTA